CGCCTCAGAATCACTAGGGGGGTTGATCTCCAGGCCTTCCCTCTGTAGCCACGCACATGCAGAGGTTTTGGCTGTAGTGGGCGTGGCCAACTCTGAAGCCAGCTGGAACTCCGTTCCTGTGCGTTCCTGCCCAAAAATAGCCCTGCTGAAACCACTAATAAAGTAGAGCTGATCACTAGACTTGGGGTCTGCTCATCCATGGAACCCACTATTGAACAGGAACCGAACTCTGTCATCTGGGAATCAGGTGTAATACCGGGAGATCTCCAGGCCCCACCTGGAGGTTGGCTGCCTTACCATTTTCTGATGACTTGATGGGCCAGTCCAGCTGTGGATGGGATTAATAGGCCTCTCTGGGCTCATTATGTGCTTTCGTTTCTGTTTATCCTTCTCAGCCCTTTGCCAGGATGCGGAAAAGAAGACGCTCCACTGTTACTACTGCAGCTACGAGGAAGCCTGCGCGGAGACCCCGACGCAGTGCCAGGAAGGAGAGAAATGCGGCATTATGTTGGGGCATTCAGGTTTGTTCTGCTGCATGCATGCACGGCACCCGCAACTGAGTACCTCCGTCCCGCCAACCCCCACAGCCACACTCGACCCTAACTTTGCGCGCTCTTGTCATTTGCAGATTATAAAGTGCACGACTCCTTCTTCGGAAAGGGCTGCGTCTCGGCCTCGAAGTGCGGCAATCAAGAAAGGATCACCTACTGGAACAACCCATTCCGCGTGTCCTACTCCTGCTGTGACACTGATTACTGCAACAAGGACGTCGTCGGGGTAGACCACAAGGTCATCACTGCGGCAGGCCACACCTCCGTCCCTACCCATCTCCCCTGGCTCTTGGCAGCCACTCTCCTGGCTGCCCTACCCGCCTTCCTCTCCTGAGAACTAGGATCTGCCTCTTTTCTGAAGCGGGTGGCCACCAGGCCTGACCGAGCTCTGCCATACACACAGCTTTGGTCAAGAAACCACCATAAAGAGAAAGAGATCCTGTTGCCCTCCTGGCAGGTCCTGGTCAACAGTACAGTTCCAAACAGTCAAAACACATCGAAGTCAACTATATATCAAAGTTGATGGGCTTAGAAAGGTGGAGCTCAGCTTAGGACTGCTTTGTGAGACATGCTGAGGTTCTAAGCAATGTCAAGCTTAAGTAGCTCCACACTATTATTTTTAAAATAGCAATTTAGTTTCTGGGGGGGGCATTTAGAGACCCCCTCCTGATCTGAGGCCCTAAACTGTAGTTTACTTAGCTTGTGCCTAAATCCGGCTCTACATACTGGCTGTGCCCCGACCTGGATAGCCCAGGCTAACCCGATCTCGTCAGATTTTGGAGGCTAAGCTGGTTCAGCCCTGGTTAGTACTTGGAAGGCAGACCCCTTTCAGAGTCCAGAGTTGCTGCACTGAGCCCAGGAACAGCGAACCACCTCTGAACATCTCATGCCTTGACTATTTCGTGGGGTCACCCTAAGTCAGCTGCAAGCTGATGGCAAAAAAATAAATACTGGCCCCAGGGGCAGATTAAGGCTCACTGGTGCCCTAAGCATTGACCAATCTTGGTGCCCCCGTCCTTTCCACATTGACCCAGTCCATTTTAGTTGTTGACCTGTCTGACCAGATATACAATGCAGGTTGCAGCAATACAAAAATTCATTCATATGATAACACAATATACTGTACAAACTAAGCCAAGCTTGGGCTACGTAAAGTTCTACAAAAATGCAATACAACATCTATTTTAATATTTCACAAGTTATCAATTTTTTTTTACAAATCTTCATTCCTTTTTTTAAAAAAAATTTCACCCTTTCCCCAACTTTGTGGTGCCCCCTTTGGCCCTGGTGCCCTAAGCACGTGCTTAGTCTGCTTAATGGTTAATCTGCCCCTGACTGGCCCTGATGACAGTACAGCATCTTTTTAACATTTATTTGCACGTCCACCCCATCTCTTGGCCCATATGACAATTCAGAAAAAACTGCTTTTAAAAACCACCAGTAATTTGGAAATCATTTTTAAACTCGAGTACCAGAAATTTTCTTGCAACTTTTATTTATTTATTTATTTAATTCAATTTGTATCCCGCCCTTCCTGCCAAAGCAGGACTTTCTGACTTTGGCCATGACGACGAGCTGGTCCAGTTATGTTCTAGTCAACATGTAATTTGTTTGTTTTAAATATACATTATATGAATTCTATACAAGAAAATCAGCACAGTCGCCCATCCAAATACAGGTAAACCAATCAAAACAGCCAGCCTTCAACAAAGAAAAGAAAAGTAGTCAGTGTGTAGTTGAGCAATCCCTTCCCTTGCTTTTTTAGAGAAACCCATCACCATTTAAAGTGAATCTGTTTCTTTAAAAAAAAAAAAAAAGTAGACTGGTGAGGGGGCAGAATTCACACAGGAGTTGGTGTCATGGCTGTGAGAAAGAGCCCTGGCCTGCCATAATTCCTGGTTCAAATCTCATCCCAGTTCTAAATTCTCAAAAGGTGAAGATGTGCCGTCAAGTTGCAATTGATTTACCCCAACCTCAGCAGGGGCTTTCAAGGCAAGTGAGGAGCAACGGTGGTTTTTTGCCATTGCCTTCTGCTGCAGAGTCTTCTTTGGTGGTCTCCCCTCCTTAGCTTCTTTGTTGTTGTTGTATTTTTCATATGTGCATGTGTGTGCATGTATGTGCACCTGGAAGTCATGGCGACCTTTGGTGACTGACCCCTACTGGGGGCCTGGAGGATATTCAGAAAGGTGGCTGAGTAAAGCCTGCCCCCCACCTCTGGTATTCCAAGGAGGTCTCCCATCCAAATACTTGCCAGAGTCGACCCTGCTTAGCTTCCAAGATCTGACGAGATCGGGCTTGCCGGGACTATCCAGGTCAGGGCCCTGCTTAGCTTCTGATACCTGATGAGATGGGGCTATACCATGCCACCTTCTTTCCGGATTCTCAACACATGATCTTTCCAAGCCACCACTCTCTAGTGATCATCCTCATAGCTTCTTGTTACCATATTGACAGGGAGAGCCCTGAGATCTATTTAGCTGGAGATGCCAGGCAACAGGACTCTCGTGGTTTCTAGCTCAAAAGGTGTCTGAACCCGGCACCTTCTGCATGTAAAGCATACAGTCTACCACTGAGCCTCAGCCCCTCCCCTAAGTTATTGTAGTCGAACGTTCTGCATAAGCACTGGATAAATTATTTTTGTATGTATATGTATTCATGGAACCCACCTTTTCTTTATATTCCACTACGGAAACAGGAAGGCCTACTTGGGAGCTGCTCTGTACATACAAACTGATGGCCCCAAATCAACTATAGTACAGTCCCTTGCATACTTTTCAGCCCACTGGCTTCAAAAGGCCTAGAGGGTAGGCTTGCCAAGTCCCCCCGGGGGGTGGGGAAATCCCCGCCCCAGAGGCCCATTCCCCGCCGCCGGCGGAGTCGGGTCCCGGT